CGGCTGCGGACGAGATCCGTCGGCGCTTTGAGGATCAGCGTTGGGATCTGGGTCTGCTCGGAGGCGGATCCTTGCCTCTGGGGGAGCCTGCGCGTGCGGGGTCCGTCGCGCGCTCCGGCGCAGAGGCTGTGGCGCACCGGGGGCATTCGCCTCGCCATCGTTCGCCGATGGCCCACGACGGTAGGCGGGAGAGCCGCCACGACGACCGTCGCGCTGGCTCGCGCCCGCCGCGGTCTCCGCGATCACCGCGGTCTCCTCGATTGCCTCGGCGCAAGGTGTCACGGAGCCGTTCCCGTGACCACCGCTCGTATCGCCACCGTTCTCCCGCTCCCCGCTCCTCTCGTCCGCGATCGCCTGCTCGTCATGCGTCTGGATATCGGTCCTTGGCGCCACGTTCTCCCCCTCTTGCGAAGCGCCAGCGGCTCTACTCTCCTCGTCGCACGGAGCGTTCCCCTGACCGCCAGCGTCAGCGGGGCCTGTCTCGCCCACAGTCGCCTGTGCGTTCGAGCGCGAGTGGGCGTGCGCATCGTGGGCGACGGGGGGGTTACGGTCGCGGCGGGGCTGCGCGTCCAGCGCCTTCCGCTATGGAGCAAGTCCTGAAGAATTTGGACGGTGTGGAGAAAGCTCTCCACCGCTCCCATGCGAGGTCGTCCTCGCAATCTGCTCCTCCCGCTGCTCCAGTCGCTCCTCTCGCCGCGCTCCTGCCCCATAGTCCTGTGGGATCCCCGGCGCGCTCAGTTCGTCCGCTGCCTGTGGGGACTGGCTTTGTTGGCGCGGGTGGCGGGGACCCGTGGGCCCAGTTCGCTCTGCCACGTCCCCTCCCTGCTCCTCGTGATCTGGCAGTGTCGGCTCGCCGATCTCGCGCGTCTGCATTCCCCCCGCAGATGAAGCCAGTGCCCACGGCGACCATGGCGTACTTGTGGTCGTTGGCGGAGTGCCTGCAGAGTCTTGAACTGATTCTCCAGGAGTCACATGGCTCCATGTTGGAGACCCCGCCGAGCACGTTCTCTCAGATGCCGCGAGCAAGGTGTCACGCGGCGGCGTCAGCATTATTCTCGTTCGTATCGCCATTGCAGGTCGCGCCCTCGCCGGGAGTAGTCTCGGCCACCCTGCTGGCTGAGACGGCCCTGGGTCTGAGGACCCTTGTAGCAACTCGTGGAACTCCTGTTGACGTTGTCGGCGCCACCGCGTCAGTGGTCCGCCAGATGTAGCTGACCACGCGCGAAATGCTTGGTGAGCTTGAGGCGGACCGCATGTAGGTAGCCCCCTCGCGCGTGTGTAGACCCGTTCCATGGTAGCTTGTCTAGTTGTCGTTGTCTGCCATGGTTGTTATTTTTGCCGTCATCTAGCCGTCCTTGTTATTGTCCTTGTCGTCCCAAGCGCGCGGCCACAGGCCGCGCCCGCGAGCGCCAGCGCGAAGCGCCGGAAAAGTCAGAAACACCAAATGAAGAATGAGTTGGAGAGAAGGCCAAGGGGCCCTTATATAGCTGGGGAAGAGAGGGGATGAGCCTAGGAGGGAAGAGACTAAGTCCCTTGCTTCTCTCTCTCTCGCTCTCTCGAACGAAGAGAACCGGAAAAGTCAGAAACACCAAATGAAGAATGAGCTGGAGAGAAGGCCAAGGGGCCCTTATATAGCTGGGGAAGAGAGGGGATGAGCCTAGGAGGGAAGAGACTAAGTCCCTTGCTTCTCTCTCTCTCGCTCTCTCGAACGAAGAGAACCTGAAAAGTCAGAAACACCTTGTATTAGAGGAGGGCATGGGAGTGCTGCAAGCACATTGCATCGTACCTCCCAGTACCACTCTCCTACTCCAACTCTCTCTCTCTCTCTCTCTCTCTCTCTCTCTCTCTCTCTCTCTCTCTCTCTCTCTCTCTCTCTCTCTCTCTCTCTCTCTCGAACGGTCCATTGTATTAGTATCACCAGGGTACACACAAGGTAAGGGCACATCTACACCTAGCTAAGCTAGCAGCAGTTCTCCACAATCTAGCACTGCTAGGAACCGCTTCCTCCCCTTCCGGCCCTAGTAACCGGAGGGGTCTTCAATCAGTTGGTACAGCTGGCCCTCGCTCAGTGGGGTAAATGGGCCCTGCAGGCCGAGCACATCCGCCGTAAGGGCCTCATGGGTCTTAACCCTGAGGGCATTGGCCTGGGCTCTCTGCAGAGTCACGCTCCATCGCTGCCGGTATTCGGAAAGGAGCTTGGCCACCTCCCTCGACTTCGGAGCGGCGTTGAACCGCCGCTTGCCCGCTAGCTCTGCGCAGCTGCGGAGGAAATCGAGGACTCCCGGTGAGGGGTAGCCGTATGTCTCAACTGCCATGGCGTAAAAGCCAACCCAAGCGCTCCGCCCGGCGTATTTGCTCTCCTTTTTGTCCGCCTGCATCCTTGCTGCCCATCCGGGCGCCTTACGGGCCTGCTCGTCCTGGTGGGAGACGGGGTCAGTGACTGTGATGTCACAAATCCAGACCTCACCAGTGTCGGGATGGCGGATAGAGATATCCGCTTTGAGGTTGTCGACTGGTGAGTATGCCGTCGTTTCCTTGTGCTCTGTGAAGCCCGCTTCAGCTGCTATCTTTGCGCACTCGTCCCGCAGAGCATGGTGAGTGGCTATTCTCCCCCCCCCTTTCTCACACCGCATCAGGTGGTTAGGCAAGTGGTCGTCAGGGAAGGTAGTTCGGTATCTGCAGTTGCAGCGTCTTGGCACAGGTAAGGGCAGGCCCAAACGGAAGGAGGCTGCCGAGGAGAACTGGGAGGGCCCGAGGCGTAGGGAAGGGATTAGAGGGACTGCGTGTAACCAGTCCCCCGCACCCGGGCCTAGGAGGGACTGGAGCCTCTGCGTATGGCCCGACAGCGGGTTCGGCTCCATGGCCCGCGAGCTATCCAGTAGCCCAATGTAGAGGGCAGTGTGTACTGCGAGGGAGAGTGCCTGTTGGAGCTTGGGCCCGTTCGGCTTTTGCCTCCCTGCTTGGAGAGCCTCGGTCCCATCAGGCGGCAGCTTGGCTTCCAAGGCCGCGAGGCGTCTCGGGAGGAGGGAGGTGGACTCCTCGTCAGCATCCAACAGCGGCAGGAGTCCTGTGAGGGCCGGGTTTGCTGAATCGCCGAAGGAGCGCAGCAGGTGGGCGGCGGAGACAACTGAGGCCACGTAGGCAAATCCCCCTTCTACTGCAGGGTTTGTGATGCCAAGGCCTCCCAGAGACGCGGGCAGGGCGGCCTGCTGCCAGATTCTTTCCCTCTCTGCTCGATCTCTGGGGATCTTTGTGTGTGCGGCAGCCAGGTAGGTGTGGAGCAGCCCTTCCCCCCAGGCGGACCACTCCCCAAGGGGAAGGGCCTCGGGTGGTGTGGTTCTGACTAGGAACGAGGCACGGCGGCTCACACAGCGGGTGAGAAGAAGGAGGCATAGTTGGGGGTCCATCTGTGAGAGGAGCGGGAGCGGCTCTGCTGCTGTGGAAAGTCGTTCGCGCACTCGAGCAGCACAGCCTGAGGGCGGCCCAATGGGGCTGCCTAAGATGCGGACCCCGTCCGGGGAGATATTGATTCCCGGGGGTAAGGTGGCGGGGTCCAGGGCCACGGCGGACCAAGCTTCGCATTTCGCTGGGTTGTGGGACAAGCCGTGGCTGAGGAGGGCCTCGGTGAGGTGAGCAAAGGCCGCCGTGCAGTTCGCCGCCTCGCCTAACAGGGTGATGTCGTCCGCGTACGCGAGAAGCACCACCTCCGGATGGGCCGCTGCTGTGGCGACGAGGCAGGGGTGGATGCTGGCTGCGAATAGGAGGGGTCCTAGGGGGTCGCCCTGGCGCACGCCTCGAGCGCTCTGAAGTGGCTCCGCTCCAAAATCGTGGTCGAGATAAAGTGCAGAAGGGCGGCTGTAAGAGAGGCGGACGAGAGGCACGAGGGGGTCGAGGGCCGTGCCCTTCAGTCCCTCGAACACTGCCGCGCGCTCGACTGCGTTGAAGGCGTTTGCCAGGTCGATCTGCAGGGCTGTCGCTCCCGGGAATTCCTCCAGGTAGGTGCGTGCAGTGTGTATCGCTGCTTCGATGCCTCCCGCGATTGCTACTCCAAATTGGAGCGGGGTGAAGTGCTCGCGTGCTGCGGGGGCGGCCAAGAAAAGGGCCGCTTTGGCGATGAGGCGAAGCAGACATTCACCCACGGCTATCGGTCTCGTTCCGCCCTGCGGTTTAGAGAAGGCGAGCAGTCGCGATGCTGTGAGGAGGTCTGCCGCCTCCGCGCTTAGTTTTCCTGCGAGCGCCGTGTTGGTGAGTGCGTGTAACTGTGCTAAGACGTCGGCGTTCCCGAGTGCCGCGTCTCTCAGGTGCTCGAAGGTGGTTCCTGAGGGCCCGGCACCTACACCGTTCGGGCATCTGGCGAGCAGATGCCTGAAGTCACGGGCTGTGATGGAGGGTACGTTCTCAGAGGCGAAATCGTGCACCCAGGCCGGAATTGCGCGGGAGGCCTCTGGATGTCTGACCGTGAGTGCACTGAGGACCTCAGCACTCGGGGTGCAGACGGGCGTGGCAGTGAGGGACTGGAGGGATTTTGCCAGGTTTCCTCTTTTGGCTAGCCCCTCGGCCCTCGCCAGCTTGCCCGTGGTGTCAGGTACGTGGCGTGGTTGGGGGCCGTTGGCGACAGCATCCGCTGCCTCGTTATACAGGTTACGCCACAGCCCTTGGCGGAATCTCGTCAGTCTTTCGCCTATGGCCCTCCAGTCGGGTTTGCGGGCTGACAAGGAGCGCAGCAGAATTCGCGGGAGGAACATCAGCAGCTTCCAACCAGAAGACGAGTCAGGGTTTTTCGCCAGGTGGAGTAGTGGGGTCAGGAGGCAGATTGCGAAGGATTCGCGAAGTGGGCGGGGTGGGTGGCGGGCGAGGGGTGGCTGTCTGCTATCGTGCAGGGGGCACAGGTCCCAGTTGGCGATGTCAGCGAAGAGTTCCTGGCGGCCAGCCAGGTCGTCCGCGCTGATGATTGGTGCAGGGGTGTCGGGGGCAGTGGTAACCCTAGCGGTGGTGGCGGCTCAGTTTCCCCTCGCGGCCCGATTTCGAGGGGTTTGAATTGCAGATGCGGTTCGGCCCCCAGTTGGGATTTTGCCCACTCCTTGGGCTGGGGTAGTCTCATCTCCTTCTGTCAAGGGACTCGAACTCCCCTCCCTTTCGAGGATAAAGGAGGGGTCACCCGCTGAGCCATTCCCAGAATCGTCACCGAGTGTCATCCCTCCCTCCCTAGCTCTCCGCCGCAGGGCCCGCTGTGCTGTTCTGGCAAAGCTACTTGCGCCCCTTCTCTGGTTCGTGGCGCCGCGCCCACGTCCGCGGCGGTTGGAGCCTCGTCCTACGCGAATTCCCCGCATGTCCCTAGTTCTTGTGGCCCCCGCGCGTCGTGTTGGGGGGTCAGCGGCGACGTCGCTCTCTCGTTGACGAAGCGCTGGCGTTGGCAGCCGTGGCATCGGGCGTAATGGATCCGACCACTTGTCGTGATCCCGCACTGGCGGGTACGGCGGAGAGCGCACAGCAGGAGGTGGAGCCTGCTGGTCCTCGCACACGTCTCCCCGCGCGCCCCTCCGCGAGTGAGCCCTTTCGCCGCCTTGAGCATGGGCTGCCCCTCCCTCTTCGGGGGGTCCTGCGGCCCACCTCGCCGGAGTACTCGTGGGCCCCTGATAGGGTCGCGTCAAACCGCCTCGCCGGATCGCCGAGTCCGGGGTGCAGGCGTTCCCCGCCGCGTCAGTCTCCGCTGCAGCGATCTCCTCGTCGCCGTTCTCCTGAACGGCGCGACCCTCCTCGTCACGGAGCGGGAGCCCTGCGATCTCCCGCGCGCCATCGCTCCCCCCAGCACCCCTCTCCTCAGCATCATCCAGATGGGCGCGGAGGTCAGAATAGGCGATCGCCGCGAGCGCGATCCCCCGCGTGACGCTTTCCGCGGCGATCTTCGGCGAGGCGGGGGAGGGGATCGCCTGGGCGCCGCTGGGATTCTGCTCGCCGTGAGCCGTCCCCGCCACGTCCGCAGTTGGCAGGATCTGGGGGTCGTCGCGGTCGGCGGAATGGCCCTGGGCGCGGCGGTAACAGCCGCGGTCAGGACTCCGCTGTCGAGCAGGCAGTGAACGTACTGACAGCGGCTGTGCGACAGGCGCGGGCGGGAGGGGAGCTGGCCCACGTACATATCGCCGTAACTCAAGGCCCTCCCGTCGCCCCGGCTCCTGCCCCGGCGGATCCCATGCGCGTACCGACATTGAGCGATTTTCTGCCCGCGAGAGGGGGGAGGGCGTCGTTCCGCGCCCCTCGGCAGGCCCCGGGCTTCTCCGCTCTGCAAATCCCGATTGGCCGAGCCCCTGTCCAGGTGGCGGCGTTTCCGCGCGAAGCTCCGACTGCACCTCCCCCCACCCGCGCGGGGAGAGATCCCATGCTGACCATGTGCCGCTTGTTGAGTCTTGCGGAGGCGTGCGAGGGGGTGGCGAGTTTGCAGGTGTCGGTTACGCTCCGAGCACTCCGAGCGGTTATGCTCCAGGTCCCCGAGGATCGTGCGTTTCTTGGGCAGAAGCTCTCGTCCCGCTCTTGGCGCCCGTGTCGGAAGCGCCCGCCGGGGTAGCGCCCTTAGCGCGTACTTTCGCCCGCCACACGCTTGATCTTGTTGGGGCTGCTCGTGACGGGACCCCGGTAGAGACCCTTCACTCGTCGGCGCAGCTCCTCCTAGCAGTGTCGGTGTGCATGCGCTCGATGCTTGAGGTGGAGGGGGCGGAACCGTACACGATGTAGGCTTCCGCCGCGCGTAGTACTGCATGCCGCACCTCTAGTTAGGTCCCTGCTCTACTGCATGTGTTGCTTGTGTGCATCCATTGGATACTTGCTTTCGCTCGTGTGTCTTGCCACCCGAACCGCTGAAAATGGACACACACGAAATAATGAAAGAAGCAAGGCACTAGCAGCCTTTAAGTAGGCAAGGGAGGGTGAGGGCAGAGGGAAGAGGCTGAGGGAAGAGGCAAGGTTCCCTCTCTCTCTCTCTCTCTCTCGCTCTCTCGAACGACTACCGAAAATGGACACACACGAAATAATGAAAGAAGCAAGGCACTAGCAGCCTTTAAGTAGGCAAGGGAGGGTGAGGGCAGAGGGAAGAGGCTGAGGGAAGAGGCAAGGTTCCCTCTCTCTCTCTCTCTCTCTCTCTCTCTCTCTCTCTCTCTCTCTCTCTCTCTCTCTCTCTCTCTCTCTCTCTCTCTCTCTCTCTCTCTCAAATGGTCCTTTGTATTAATTCAGCGGGGGTACAGACAAACAGTTTGACTCGTGAATCCCTTAGACCCTCTGACCCTTTAACCCATCCCTCTGACCCTCCCCCCCCCTGAGTGGCCCTCTACCCCTCCAGCGTGTGGAGGATGTCCCCTAGGTGCAGCGGCCATGGTTCTGCTGCCATCTGGGGGTGCGCCGCCTCGATCCCTGCCCTGGCCTTGGTGTGCAGGGCATTTGCCTGGGAGCGCTGGAGGGCCACTGACCAGCGCTGGCTGAAATGGCAGGCCATCTTCTTGGCGGATTTCGCCAAGGGGTTAGCCCTGAAGCGGTTCCTAGCTGCTGCTGTGGCCAGCAGCTTCAGGAACGCCGTCGTGGGGGGCGCATTTGCCCCGTAGGTCTCGACAGCCAGAGCGCAGAACACCACGTGTTCTGTGTGCCTGAAGTAGTCCCTTTCTTTCCTCTTCTGTGCCTCCCTTGCAGCCCAACCTGGGGGTTTGCGGGCTGCAGGGTCTCGGTTCTGTAGCACAGGGTCGGTGATAGTCGTGTCAGCGATCCAGGTTTCTCCACTGTCTGGGTCGCGTACAATCACATCGGCCTTCTTCGGGTCATCCGGTGGTGAATACATTGCATTCTCCAGGTATACCACCAGCTATGCCTCCCTCGCCATTTTAGCCATGGCGAAGGCCAGCTGGTTGTGTGTGCGCGTTCTGTCGGGGCCTGTGCTGCAGCGGAGTAGGTGGTTGGGGAGGCTGCAGTCGGCTACGAGCTCTCCACACTCGCACATGGTAGGTACATTCTGTCGGATGCCCATGCGAAAGGCCAGAGCTGTTCGGAATTGCCCTGGTGAAAAGCAGAGGTCTGGAGTCAGGGGTAGGGCTTGCAGCCATGCCCCCGCTTCCTCGCCTCTCAGGCTGACGAGGCGGAGCGAGTGCCCCATCTCGGGGGCAGACCTGATTGCGCGTGATTCCTCTGTCAGGGCGTCGGCCTTTGCCGCGTGCACTTCCTGAGAGAGGGCGCGCTGAAGCTGGTCTTGGGACGGGGTTTCCTGCTCCTCGCGGAGGTGTTGCAGCGCTAGTGGCGGCAGTCGTCCCTCCATGTCCTGGATGGTGACCGAGTGCGCTGCAGACGGCTGCAGGGCGTTGCTGTTGCTCCCTAGCGCCGCGGTTGTTGGAAGGTCCAGTGAGCGGAGCAGGCGTAACGCCTCTGTTGTCGAAGCCAGGTAGGCTGGTGCTATCTCTGTTGTGGGGTCCGTGAGGCCCAGCCCACCCAGGGCTACTGGGAGGGTTGCTTGGCGGATAAGGAAGTTGAACTCGGCTTCACTGTGGGGGGGTTGGATGCTGGCGGTAGTCAAGGCGGTGTTGAGCAGTTCGGCGCACCACTCGTGCCATTCCGAAAGAAGAAAGACGTCTGCTGGGGTGGTGCGCAGCAGGTAGCCGATTCTGCGGCTGATGCAGCGAGACAGTAGCAGGAGGGTAGGCTTGGATGGATGGATGCTAAGGAACCCAGGGGTGCCGCTGCGTCAGCCAGGGTACTGCGGACGAGGTCAGAGCAGAAGCGATGTGACCCCACAGGGCTTCCCAACACCCGTACCCCCTCGTGGGTGAGGGGAAGGCCCTCGGGGAGCTCATCACTTTCGAGCGGCGAGGAGGACCACGCCGACGACTTCTTGAGGTTGCAGGTGAGGCCATCCTGGGCTAGCAGCGGCGTCAGCACCCTTAGCGCGCCGAGCGTTGCTGTCGCCGGTCCAATCATGGTGATTTCGTCTGCGTATGCTAGGACCGTGACTTCGGGGTGCTCTGTCGCTACGCGTCTGAGGTGCTGCTGGATTGATGCTGCGAACAGAAGGGGTCCGAGGGGATCGCCCTGCCTAACTCCCCTTCCGCTGGTGAGTGCCGTTGTGCTCAAGCGCGGAACGGTCAGCAGCTATGAAGGTGTCGCGTAGAAGGAGCGTGTGAAGGGTATGAGTGGGGTGAGCGGGGTGTTGGTGAGTGCGTTGAAGAACGCTTTCCTCTCTACGGAGTTGAAAGCGTTCTCAATGTCGAGTTGGAGGACTAGGCTGTATGGATGTGAAGTGGTGAGGTCTCTGGCTGCGTGGATAACGAACTCAGCCCCGCCTGGGACTGCCACGCCAAATTGTTGGGGTAAGAAAAATCGCCTTGTCTCTCTTTGCAGTTCTGAGAGTGCCACCTTTGCTGCCAGCCGAAGCAAGGATTCCCCTATCGCGATAGGGCGTACCCCCCCCCCCCCTGGTTTCGCGAAGGCGATGAGGCGGGATGGCGAGAGTAGCGCTGCAACCTCGATGGAGAGATTCGTCGAGAGCAGGTGTGTTACGGCGGAGTGCAGGTGCCCCAGTACCTCGATGTTACTTAGGGCTGGGTCGCGGTAATGTTCGAATGTTGACCCTGATGGACCAGCCCCAACTCCGCTGGGGCAATCCCCGAGGACGTTTGAGAAACTTTCCGTGGTGCACGAAAATTGCGTGGGTGTTGTGTAGGAGTGGACCCAGTCGGGCAGGTCAATTTGGGGTTGGGGATGTTTCGATTCCAACTGCTGCAGTGTGGCGATTGTCGCAGGGACTGCTGGCGAGGGTTGGAGGGCTGCCAGCGCTTTTTGCAGGTTACCCCGTTTCACCAGTCCCTCCACACGTGAGCAGATTCCCAGGGGGTCATTTTGGTGCTGAGGTGGTTCGGCTTGGTGCAGGGACCCCGTGTAGTCACTGTACAGCTGGTTCCAGTGGCCACATCTGAATAGGTGCATCTGTTCTCGCAGCACTTTCCACCTAGAGCTGGAACTCCTGCTAAGTCGTAAGGTGAGACGTGGCAGGAACATGAGGACCAGCCACGCTCCCGCGCAATTTGGTAGCTTGGAGATCCGTAGGAGGGCGGCCAGCATACAGGTGGAGTAATCACTTAGGATCTGCAGCGGCAGGCGGCGAACGATAGGCAGGTGAGTGGTCGACGTTAAGGTAGTAGAGTCCCAGCTCATCGCGATCTCAAAGAGATCCTCCCTCGATGCCAGCTGGGACGCCGAAAGGGCCTGGTCCGGAGGGGGTTGGGGTCTGCAGTTCTGTCGGCGGCCGGATCTTCTCTCCTGCTATTGCGCCTGCTCCACCCCCGCTTCCGCGCGGGGTGAGTCGCGATTGTCAGGTTGCCTCAGATCTGACGGTACATATTCGTCGCCACTCCCCTCTGCGTTTGTATCACCGATTCTCCCTGCTTGCGCTGTCGTTCCTCCTCTCGCCCCGCGCCTGGCGAACGACTGGCGCATGACTCGTTCCGCCGGCTCCCCCAACCAGATTGGGCTCGGCAATTGGTGGGGATTCCCCCTTGCCGCTTGGCCTGCGCTCCGCTGTCCTCCGCGCGCTCCTCGACGCCCGCCTCTTCCCCGCGTGCTTCCGCGTCCGCTCCTCGGAGTGGCTGCCACCGGTGCCGCCTATTGCGTCTGGCAGATCGGCGTTATCGGCTCGTCCCGTCCCAGTGGCGCGCCTTGAGTGGGGACCGATGGACTTCCTTGGTGCTTTGGGCCGTGACTGCGCCGCAGAGGTTGATCCTGCTCCCCGTCCGCTTCCTCCTGCACGTCCTGCCGCGAGCGTACCTGTTGCTCCACCGGCGTTTGCGGATGAGATCCGTCGGCGCTTTGAGGATCAGCGGCGGGATCTAGTTCCGCGCGAAGGCGGATCCTTGCCTCTGGGGGAGCCTGCGCGTGCGAGGTCCGTCGCGCGCTCCGGCGCAGAGGCTGTGGCGCACCGGGAGCGTTCGCCTCGCCAACGTTCATCGGCGGCCCGCGACGGTAAGCACGAGAGCCGCCGCGACGATCGTCACGCTGACGTACGGCCGCATCAGTCGCCAAGATCACCGCGGTCACCTCGTTCGCCTCGACACGTGGCGTCACGGAGCCGTTCCCGTGACCGCCGCTCGTATCGCCACCGTTCTCCCGCTCCCCGCTCCTCTCGTCCGTGTTCACCTGCTCGCCATGCGTCTGGATATCGGTCCTCGGCTCCACGTTCTCCCCCTCCTGCGAAGCGCCAGCGGCTCTACTCTCCTCGTCGCACGGAGCGTTCCCCTGACCGTCAGCGTCAGCGGGGCCTGTCTCGCCCGCAGTCGCCTGTGCGTTCGAATGCGAGTGGACGTGCACGCCGTGGGCGACGGGGGGGATTACGGTCGCGGTGGAACCGCGCGTCCAGCGCCTTCCGC